ATTTATAAATAACTCACTTTTAGGAGCCAATATTCTTTTGAAGATCTGATAAGAGCTATGGAACATCTCAAATAAAAATGCACATATACATATAAAAATTTCCTATATCATTTTAAGATATTCATGGATTCCTTGAGGCTAATAAACTTTTAAATCACAGATTAAAAAGCTTTGGTCTGAGGAAGCTATCAAAGACACTGGGGTCATATCAGTAAGACAAAGGCCTTCAAGAACTAAACACAAGTGTATAAAGAGTTATTCTACACTGCAATTGAAAGACATAAAATTTGTTAAAATCCATAAATTCATACTACTACTTAAAAAAAAAAGCATCTTTGGAGGATGCTTTAAAAAACATTCATTTTTCTGAAAACTGGTAAATAAAACTATCAAGTATTTAAACTGCCTTTCCTATACCAACTCTATCACTTGGTAAACAAATAGTTGATGAGGAAATTTTTCTTAATAAGAATTCCACTTAACAAATGAAATAATTATAAAATAAGTATAGGCAATCATCAATGCCTTAATGTCACAAAAAGAGAGACAACTGGGAATTGTCTCCTGATGAGAGTATGTAACACCAACCATAAAGTATTTTTGCAAAAAAATAATAAATAAAATAAGGAACTGAACCAGGTGTCTAAATCTATCTGTAGAAAATACATGTTATTAAATTATACAGTAGGGATACAATTAGCAAAATACAGACAAAAGACCCAGATTCTTCAACAAATAAAATGTAAGAAGGAAGGGCAAAAGGAGGAAACTCACAGATTTTAAAAGGGAAATAACGAAATCCAACGTGTGCACCTTTTTTGGATCCTTAATCAAACGAACTAACTGTAACAAATCATTTGCAAGAAGCAACTACACGAACTGAAAATTGACTGGATATTTAATGATATTAAAGCAAATCTGTCCATTTTTACATGGGTTAATAGTATTGTGGTTATGTCTGAAAGAATGTTTATCTTTGAGCAATACGAACTAAAGACTATATGGATAAAATGATATGATGTCTTGGATTTGCTTCAAAATAACCCACAGTGGGAGGAAAGATAGAATAGATGGGGGTATAAATGAAATGAGGTTGGCCATGAGTTGATAATTGGTGGGTACATGGGGGTTCATTAAACTCTGCTCTTTACCGTTATACATGCTTGAGATATTCTAAAATAAACAGCTTATTTTTAAAGCCTTGCTTTGTAAAAAAAGAAAACTGGATCTTTCCTTTCTGAAAGTAAATGGGAAATAATAAGCACTCTTCTATCTTTCTTTCATGGGCCCTGCCTATGGGATCCTGGAAGCAGAAGACAATCTATAATCACCCAGTACCAGATGTTCCAGAGAACCCAGGAGTTTCTATCCTATAAACTTTATAAAGCATGATTCAACAGAATTGAGAAGCTCCTCAATGACAGAGAGGAGGAAAAAACAGCAGCATGATCCAAACCTGAGTAACTGATCCTTCCTAAAAACAATGGCGAGTTCATGTTTTAAATCCTGGAGGTTCAAAAGATGAAAGAATTTTAGCCTAAGAAATATGTTTTGTATAGAATGTCTAAGAGGGCTTCTTAAAAGAGAGGGTGAAGTCTCCCTCAACTTGACATCCTGCTGCCGTAAACAAGACTGTGGTAACTAGAACTCTAGCAACTAGCTTGGAACACGAAGATAAGTAATATGGTGCTGTAAAGTAGAAGGACCTCATCTGCCTACCTCCTACCTTCAGACTTCTTTCTACATGAAAGAAAAATAAACTTCTGTCTTACTTAAGTTACTGTGTTATCTGAGATTTCTTCTCTATTACATATAGCCAAACTTGATCCTAAGTTATAAAAGAACTAAACGTGAACACCTGGAAATAGTGATGTATCAAAAGTTACTTTCGAGCTTATTCTTGGAGGCTAGTGATGCAACAGATAGTATAATGGATAAATATAGGAACAGGAAAAGAGATGAAAGAAAAATAAATGCTTGTCTTTAATATATTAATTAAAGCTTCCGATGAGACAATTGGTGTAAAAAAAGGTCTTTTAACCTGAAAACAGTGCTAAACATTAAAGAGCTTAAGGTAGGTTTCTGTATCACCTTCAGATAAAACCGTGGGAAACATTTAACATTCTAGTACATACAAATAGTAATATTTATTTCACTTTTCTCTTCTAATAATAACCAGTAACTAATAGGTACACAAATATATATTCTTACAATAAAAACACAGATAAAATAAAGACCAACTATTAACCCATATATTAACAGGGGGGTAGAAAAGGAAAATCTATATTAACAACTCTACCTATCTATAACTTCTCACCTTCCAAAGAAAGCTATCCAAAAAAAATTTAAGTAACTTAATATAATTGAGTTCTGAACTTCCTAGCAATTAAATAAAGCTATCCTGTTAAATATAAAGCTCAAATAACGGTCTCTATTCAGTTCTCCATGTGTCACAGACTAAAAAGATTTAATAGAGAATGGCAATTTTTTTCTGGCCCTAAATTCTAAGAGGAATTCATTATTACAATGATAGCGAGCAACTATTATACAATGTGTTTGAAGCTGTTTTATAAAAACAATACAGATAACCCAATCTTGAATTAAGTTTTAAGAAATAATATAAATCACAGGCTTATAAAAATAATTCTAACTAAAGTTAATGACTGCTAAACACTTAGCTCTCTGGTTTCCCAAGGGCAAACTCCATGTTTTATTCATCTCTGTATCTCCATCAGGCAAAGAAGCATAGCAACCTGGCACATAGTAGGTACTCATTAAATATTTCTTGAACTGAATCAGGCAACGACTTTTACAACTAAGTACCAAATAAACATTTGTTATTTAAATTTGTCCTCTAAACAACACTTTTTAAATGATATTATTTTAAGGTATAGTTACCAACAGTGTCGTTAATTTTTATATAGATGTTTTCCTGAATCAATTCTATTCATTTAACCATTATTAAATTAAGTAGATCAATTATCTTGATTCACATTTTACTGAACAATTTTAGGATACGTTTCTACTAAATTAAATTTACTAAGTTCAATTAATTCACTGCATTGCATGCCCTTCTGTATTAACTTCACCTTCTGCTGAAACCTAGTGCCAACAGTTACCATCTGAGATGAGGAAGAGGCACCAGCTACAGCTCTCAGATATTGATACAATAGGTCCTTTACTATTAACTAAAATATTTTTCTTTTAAGATAAATATTATAGAAATAAAACTACTTGTATATAGCAAGTTTCCTTCACTTTTAGCTTTTCATGTTTATGTAATTACGTTTATAAATAAAATGTATATTTAAATAAAATATTTAACTATTTTTATGACATTATAAACCAAAGTAATATTTTTTTAGATTTCAAAATATACTACTAGTAGTATAATTAGAAGAGCACAGAGCAAACCAGCATTAACTCCAAAGAAATTGTTTCCCTAAACTAAGGAAAACTAACCAAAGTAACACAAAAAACCTGAAGAATTTATCATTAATATTGCAAAGAGATAAATTTCAATAGGCCATTTGATGGGTTCATATTTTAAAGTATGCAAAATTCACAGACATAGCCAATCCCCCCAAAAATAACATTAAAAAATATCTGAAGTTTTGCAGTTCCTCCAGAAGTTAAACACAGAATTACTATGATTCAGCAACTCCACTTTTAGCTAAGTACCTAAAGAATTAAAAACAGGTGTTCAAACAGGAACTTGTATGTGAATGTTCACAGGAACACTACTAACAATAGTCAAAAGGTGGAAACAATCCAAATGATGATCAACTGAAGAATGGAAACAAAATGTGGTATTAAGGTAGGTTACAATGAAATATTACTCAGCCATAAAGAGGGATGAATTACGACATGTACTACAACATGGATGAACCTCGAAAATGTTATGATTAAGTGAAAGAAGCCAGACACAAAAGGGCATATATTGTATAATTTCATTAATATGAAATATCCAGTATAGGAAAATTGATAGAGACAGAAAGTAGGTTACCAAGGGTTAGGGGAAGAAGGAAGATGGGCAGTGACTGGTTAATGGGTACAAAGTTTCTTTCTGGGCTAATGATAATAATCTGGAACTAGATAATGATGGTTGTACAACATAGTAAATGTAATGAATTGTACACTTTCAAGTTGTTAAAATGGTGAATTATATGTAATATAAATGTTATAATTAAATAATTAATCCAAAATTTATGGTGCTAGTATAAATAAAATGTTTATTGATTAATGACATTATTTAACTCTTTAAATCTGCATGAAATATCAATTTACCTATATTCAAAATAAATAATCACTTCATATCCTTAAGTAAAAAGTTTTATCAAAAGGTAAAGTTGAAGTACACACAAAGAATATCTTCCCCAGTAACAAGGCCTTTATACACCCACAAATGTTCTTTCTAGTGTAATTTATAATAGCACAAAAACAAAAAGGAGAAACCTTTCTTCTCACCAAAGGAGAACAGCTAATTATTTGACAGAATATTTTAAATGTCTTCAAATAAAAACTGTAGACTGTGTAGCAATAATTAAAATGTTGCTAATGTTAACATGCCAATATCATAGTATTATGACATTAATACTAATTTAAAATGATGAAGCATCACATTTTAATAACTCTATGACACTACTATATCAAAATATGTATGCGTGTATATAGGGTGAAGGCATTAAGGCTGACAATTTGCTCTGTTTTCATATTTTTGTATTATCTTTTTAACTTTTCAAAACAAAAGTTTTCAGAGTGATTTGCCCATATCTATACCTCATTATGGACTAAAAAGCTAAAAAGAATAGACCCATAAGGGAAAAACTTTTTATTTCACTGTCATCTTCTTTATATATATTATTATTTACTAATAATAGAAAAAAAAAGTTACTTACCTCTAAACATTTCCATCAGACTAAATACTATATTTGTCCCCAGGATTTTTAGAATATTCATTATATAGACTATATCTAAGAATCTGATTTATAAAGACATACCTTTGCGTAACGGTTGTGGCATCATTAAGATCTGGACAAGCAAAAGAGATGTAACATCATGATAAAGAATTGGAACTTCAGGCTGTTGTTCTTCATTTCCCAGCCTAAAACAAAGTGCATAATCACTGTAGACAGTATCACATATCTTTTTTTTTCTATGTTATATTTCACATATATGTCCATGGAATAGAAATTAAACTTTCATAAGGGACTGAAAAAATCTCAAAAGAAAAAGCTAGAGGCCATATATTTGCCTAAAAATATAATCTTTTACATTCATATTTCCTTGAATTTGCCTTATGTGAAAAAATTAATAGAAATTTTATTAGGTCTTTAGGATCTCACTTATATGTGGACTCTAAAGAACAAAAGGAACAAACTAAACAATTGGCATATATTAACTTGATGATGAATCTGATCTCTTACATTACAGAAATCAAATGAATCATTAAATGGAACTTAAAAGAATTAGTTTCACTACAAATGGAGTGCCACATGGGACACTTGCTTTCACAAACAGCACTAAAGAGTAAATGTTCACATTATTAAAAAAAGAACAGATACAATTCACAAACAAGTTACTCATTGAAAAGGCATGGTTAATATCTCGCTAAAAAGTTGTTTTGACTTTATGACTAACATAAAAGTCAAATAAAATCTTTAACATTTTCCATGCTAAAAAAAATAAATAAATAACCAAAGCAGAACTTAAAATACACTATAAAAGACAAGATAATAAACCTTAGGGATATGTAGCGCCATGAAAGACACAATATATTATAAAGCAAATCTTATTCTAAAAGAATTTTTAAACTCCTTTAGAAAGTTAAAATTTTTTTGTAGGTTTAATTTTTAATGTCAGAGAACAAAAGTAAATCTTAAGCTTCCAGAATTAACTAAATTCTGAAGCTATGCTTCAGATGAGACTTGGGATAAATGACTCTATACTTAAGATTATACTCTCAATTATGATTATTCATATAGTCTTTGTTAAAAATTTAGCAACCACTATATTAAATACAATTAAGAATGTGTAATTAACAAATGTTTCAAAACTAGGATAAAAAAAAATGAATTAAAAGAATGGGAAATATTCCTAAATTGAAGAAACTGTCTATTATAAAGATAAGTATTTTTCCTAGATTAATTTTTGAGTTTAAAATAACTCCAATCAAAAAACAAATTAAGGGAAGATTTATAAAATGGTTCTAAAGATCATCTGGAAGGATAAACAGGTAAGAACAGTAAAGAAAAATTGCGAGGTGGCGGCGAGAAATGGGTAGAACGTAATCCAATCAGAGATATACACAAGACATCTCCACAATAAGTAAACCAGCATGGCACTGTTACAGAAATAGGCTTGTAGACCAACAGAACAAAGGGGAAAGTCTCTAATCATGACCATTTATACTAACACTTAATAGAAAATGAATGGGATATAAAATTGGTGAAAAAATAGTTATCTGAAAATGTATTTTAAATCTTCATCAAATACTACTGATGAAAATAAATTCCAAGTAGATTAAACATATATATATTTTAAAATCATCCAATAAGAAAACTCTACGAAGAATATATAGGCAGATATAGCTAATCCTAAAACAGGAAACATATTGTAATAACAATTATAAAGGTAAACATCGTATCTCTGGTGGGATAGGCAGGCATCGTTAAGTATGAAAGTCAAAATAAGAAATGTAAGGTCTCACTGATCTGGTTACTTGAAAATTTAAAACTTTAATATGTCAATAAAAGTATGATATTAAAAGAACATATTTCGGGGGTAAGTTTCAATAGAATAAGGTTTAATATTTTAAGCCATAAAGAATCATTCAAGCAACCTAAATGCCCATCAATAGACAATTCAATAAAGTTATGGTTCATATATACAATGGAATATTACTCAGCCATAAAAAAATGAAATCCTACCATTTGCAATGACATGGATGGACCTAGAGGGTATTATGCTGAGTGAAATAAGTCAGACAGAGAAAGATAAATACACATGATCTCACTTATATGTGGACTCTAAAAAACAAAAGGAACAAACTAAAAAATAGTCTCACAGATACAGAAGACAATCTGGTCATGGCCAGAGTGGAGGAGGGTTGGGGATTAGGTGGAAAAGGTAAAGGGATGAAGAAGTACGAAGTAGTAGTTACAAAATAGTCACTGGGACATAGAGTACAGCATAAAGAATATAGTCAATAGTATTGTAATGGCTAAGTGTAGAGTCAGATGACTGCTAGAGTAAATGCGGAATCACTTAATAAACTCTATAAATGGCTAACCAATGAATGTAAACCTGAAACTAATATAAAATAAGAATTTTTTAAAAGAAATCATTCGAAAAAAATTTAATAAGATGCCAACAGGAAAATGGACTGATGTCCTGAATACATAATTCACAAAAGTATACACAAATAGCTAATATGAAATATTTATGTGAAGTTAACTTTACCAGAAATTAAATAAATTTTTATTACTTTAGGAACCCAATTTTTATCCATCAAGTTAGTCCATATTTTTTAAGTGATAATAATCAAGACTGACAGAAATGGGGACATTCTTACATTACTAGTGACAGGTTATATAGGTACAATCTTTCTGAAAAGCAATGTTGTACTAAGTAACAGTACCTGACACTCAGTATTTATCAAATAAATAACTAAAAGTCTAAAGTATTTATCTTTTCATGTTATTCATAGTTCTAGGATTATATCTGACAGGTCAAGAAGTGTTTAACACATTATCTGATATTAAGGTAGAAGAAATTAAATGATTAACAACAGAAATGAATAAATAAATTAGGTACATAATTTAAAGAATTTTTAATAATGTCAGAATTTGGTTGTTATGTGTTCATTTTAAATGCAGATTATAAGACTGATACAGTAGAGATTAAACAGTACTTAAAAATTCATAATATATATGGAAAAAAGAACACAATTTTTTAAAACGTACTGGACTTCGTCAACCAACCAATGTCACCATAATAAAAATAAACAAAAAATTAATTAATTAAAAGAAGCCAAAAATATCTCAAAATATTAACAGTAGTAGAGGAATTCCTAGAAAATATGATCGATTTTTTTCCCCTTATATTTGCTCTCATTCTTATGGTTCATGAGTTTGTTAAATTATAATAAACTATATATAACACATAAGTTATAAGATTTCAGATTATTTTATTTTCTTTCTCAACTTTTCTGTATGTTCTAAGCATTATACAATAAATACAATTTTTATAATCAGAATAAAATTACAAAAACAATAATCTGGAGCCTATTGGCTACTAAGATAAAAGCAATCATTCTGAGAACTTAGAAATGGATCTTTCCTGGCATACAGTAGGCACATAATCAGAATGAATGAGTAGATAGATGGATACACTCCCTGTAGAAAAAAGAACCACAGATTTTGACTGGGGTTTAATACCACCGTTGTGATAACTATCTTTTAAACGCTTGACATTTTAAGATAAATAATTGTTTTTATCTCCTAAAGTTTTTAGATAATCTTTAAAATGTACATTACAAAAACTGTACATTACTATTAACTCTATGGATGATAAGAGGAAATGGGTGGGTTAGTTAACAGGCCTAATTTTCCAATATTATTTCTAAACCAGCTGATTATCAATACAATGGAAATTAAAAAGGAATAAGTAAATAATATTCAAGAGGATTATAGAAAAAAGTATATATGAGAAACCTATACCATTAGGCATAAAATTTTATGTTGAAAAGTATTAAAAGTGAGAAAAGAAAAAAGATACTTCAATTTTTAAAAATCTAATGTAGCTATGAAACACAGATGACATTATAATTAACTGTAGCACTACAAGTTAGTGAACTAATGAACCTAAAAAATTTAGAGTAAATATGGGAGGGAGTGGGGGAGGAATTAACCAGATTTCCCAAAAATTCCTTAGATCTTTTAGTACTAGGAAAGGAAGCATAGATAATAGTTAAGAATTTAGGCTCTGAAATCAGAAAAATTTGGATTCAAATGCCAGCTCTATTTAATGGCTGTGTGCCCCTACAGAATATATGTTAACTTCTCCTAAACCTCAGGTTCTTCCTATGTAAAAACTGGAATAACAATGGTACTTAGTGTGCACAGTTATGGTGATGGTTAAGCGAAATTATATATGCAAAGTACAAAAATACCTAGCATGAAGTAAGCACTGATCGTGTTTACAGCGTTTACTACTATCCTAATGGGTATTAAATCTTAGGGCTTGAAAAGAACATAACCCAACAATCAGCATAATGAAAGTGCAGTACCTGTGTCTGTTCTTTAAACTGTTAATTCGCCAATACTACTTAAGAAACCTTCTGTTTGCTGAACATCTTTAGACTCAAAGAGTGAGACATTCTAATACTTTATTTGCATACCATCCTTGTCCTTGAGTATGCAAGTCTAACTAGGGAAAAAAAATTACTAGCCAATATCAACAAAAGTGATTTTCCTTAGTCATAACATGCAAAATACTCCTAGCTTGCTATTTTATCTATAAATACAAAAAACACACACAAAAAAATTTTTTTGATAAGTAGCAGGATATATTCATAGCCTCAAAGTATCTTCCCACAAAATATGTACTGATTACAAAGGATGAAATAATAACTTTACAGTGGAAAAACTGGCAGATACCACATAAGCCAAATTATGAGTTATTATTATCAATAACAAGACAAATCAACAGCATGTGCTTCCTGATATAATGCACTAAAAAGAACACAACATTATTTCTGTGGTACTTCTGCTAAAAGTTTATAACCTGAATCTAACCACAAGGAAATATTGGACAAAAATAAATTGAGGAATTCTACAAAATAATGGGCCTGAGCTCTTGAAGAAAAAAAAAAAAGTCAGTGTCATGAAATGCAAAGTAAAAGAAACAATTCAGATTAAAGGAAATTAAAGAGATATAACAACTAAACACAAGCATGATCTTGAATTTTCTTTGCATTGATTGCATTTGCATTTCCCAGGATATCACTGAAACAACTGGCAAAATCTAAATAGGTTCTATGTGAGGTAGGAGTCAATGCTAATTGTTTCTCATATAAATAGCCAATTAACCAGCACCACTTACTATAAAGACTATGCTTCCTCCATGCTCCTCAGTGCCATCGATGCTATAAATCCAGTATCTTGTACATCCAAAGGGAGGTTTTTTTTTTAAATCATTATTTTGTAGTACCTAATGAAATTCCGAGTTTAGGCAGGAATCATCAGGGATTGCAAAAATCATTAATTGAAAGGCTGATGGGGCCTTTAGAATGGAGGGATCAGACTTTAAGCTACCTGAACCCACTGATCAATTCTGACGTAAAAAGGACAACCAGCCATCATGTACTTCCATTTGAATGTTTTACCTGCATAAAAACTAATGAGATTCTTTAAAAGATTTTCTCACTTAGTAGAGATTTTTATGCAGTTTTTACAGAAAGCATAATGATAAACTGTTCTCAATTTTTATTGTTATTTTTGTGTTTCATAAGGAAAATTAACATATTCATAAAGATTTTCAATCTTATTTTTATACTTAATCATTTTTCAAAAAGTTTTAATTGACTTTAACCTTTCAAAAATACTTACTGCGAATTCATCTCTTCTACTAACTGAGTAAGCTTTCTCCATGGATTATACTCAGAATCAATGCTATAAAGCCGCATGTGCAAGGCTAATACAAGGAACAGTTGATCTAAATGAATTGAAGAAAAGGTAATTAGAAAGTTTATAAAATTCTTCCAGAACAAAATTAAGACAAAATTTCTAACCAATTCATAAGGAAATGTTTCCTATCCTTATAATTATAATTTACCAAGTTTAAGTACCAACTACTTCATGCTCTCTTTTAAGGTAAACTCTGAAATATAGCTAAATAATTTTTACTGGAATCTGGACTGTTCCTTATGCTTAATCTTAATTCAGGAATGGTTCATTTTTCTCGCTGTCACAGATCTATTTTTCCTTGGCTTTATGCTTCAGCCTTGACAATTTGTACTTCTCACTATTGTGGTCTCTTTTTAACCAAAATTTACTGCTATCTTCAATATCCTACCCTGAGTAACTGGACAATAACATCCATATAAATTACTGTTAGGTGAAGTTCTTTCTTTACTTAATATTTTCCCCTAAATCCTCTTTAGATTGAGTTGTGACTTCATTATCTTTTGAGTCAACATGAAGAAAAAATTAACTGAAATAAGAAAATTATTTAGGAGGACTAATCCAGCTATTTTCATTTCTTCCATCCAAACCCTAACAATAATCTATCAGTCTTAGCTTTCACCAAATTCTGTTCATGACATTTGTAAAAAATATTTTTATTTAAAAGTTTTAAATTATCCAGGAAAAAATTATAATTTTTCTTTTATATCACATGTACTTTTTTTGTTATAAATAACAAGGACTGCATTAAATTGTTCTGCCACAAATACTCAAAAACATTTGTGAATCAAAAGTCATTTTCTAGAAAGTTAGATAATACTTCTTGACATATGACTGAAATTAATTCTTAAAACCAGAAAAAAGTTAGTCAATGACACAAACATACTGTTGTCACTTATTCTCTAAATTAAGATAATCAAAACTAAACATTTCATAGATTATTTCAATTAATTTTCACAAAAATTAGGTTAATATTGTTATGCCGAATTTTGAAGTAAGTTTCTGAAATTTCCAGTTTTCCCAGCAACCTTTTTCCATTGATAATACTGAGAACAAGGAACGTTTTTAGCAGAGAAATAACATGATGAAAGATACACTGGTCATTTTTACTTCAATTCAATTATATATAAGAGATTATTTTTACCATGTAAATTTACAATTTTTAAAGTGCTTAAAACTAAAAGTGTTAAAAAACAAATTCCTCTAGCAAAAAAATATTAAGATTAACTGAAGTCGCAAGGTGGGGAGTTTTGCATTCTTTTTATATAGGTGTTAACTAAACTTAAAAGCTCTTTTTTAATAAAACCTTCTTGTTTTACATTGAAACCATGGCCAGCACAGAAATAACGTTACAATTTGCCTATTTTCCTACCCTCTACCATAATTAAAGATATACAAATGTTAGAAAGAAACTTTTTCAACTTCTTATATTCTCTCATTCTACAGTTGAGGAAATAGGCCCAGAGGATGGAGTACCTTGCCATGTCACCCTAATATTTATTGGAAAAACTATTAATAGAATTCAAGATTTACTACTACCTAGTTATTTCTACCACTCCAGTTCTCCTTAGGGTTTCTATACTTTCCTTGATTACAAGACAGGTACAAAATTCCTATTTTAACACACATAAACATACACATTTTTGTAAAATTGAGATTGTAACCCTGACACATCTTCTAAAACTATTAATACAATACATAACAAGAGTCTTTGGTATTGGCTTTAACTAAAAGTAAAAAATAATAACATCTAATGAGGCACATCTACCTTTCAAAAACAATGCTAGAAATTGCAGATAAAGAGAATTGGCCAAATAACAATCAATACTTTGAACTATATTTATACAATTCACTGTGCTTTCAAAATTTGAGACTCATTAGTAAGAATTAACTCTAATATTCATTTTGCAGTTAAAATGTCTCTTATACTAAATAAATTATCGAAAGTAATAGATATAGAATAAGGAAAAACTACAATCATAAGCAAAAAGCTATAACAAATAATCCTAAAATTTATATGGAACCATAAAAGACCCCGAGAGCCACAGCAATATTGAAAAAGAAGAGCAAAGTCAGAGGTATCACGCTACCTGCTATCAAACTATACTACAAGGCTACAGAAATCAAAACATCATGGTACCAGCATAAAAACAGATACACTAATCAATGGAACAGAATAGAGAGCCCAGAAATAAATCTCTGACTATATTCTCACTTAATATATGACAACGGAGGCAAGAATATATAATAAAGACAGTTTCTTCATAAATGGTGTTGGGAAAACTGAACAGATACATGCAAAAAAAAAGAAAAGAAAGAAAGAAAGAAATTGGACCACCTTCTTACACCATATACAGGAATAGACTCAAAATGGATTAAGACTTAAATGTAAGACCCGAAACCATAAAACTTCTAGAAGAAAACATAGGCAGTAAACTCTCTGATATTGCTAACAGTAATTTCTTTTCGGATATATCTCCTCAGGCAAGGGAACCGAAAGAAAAAATAAACAAATGAGACTACATCAAACTAAAAAGTTTTTGTACAGCTAAGGAAACCATCGATAAAACAAACAAAAAACAACAACCGACTGAATGGGAGAAGATATTTACTTATGATACATCTGATAAGAGGTTACTACCCAAAATATATAAAGAACTCATACAACTCAACAACAAAAAAGCAAACAATCCAATTAAAAATGGGCAGAAGATCTGAACAAATATTTCTCCAAAGAGGAAATACAGATGGTCAATAGACATATGAAAAGATGTTCAAGATCACTAATCACCAGAGAAATGCAAATTTAAACCACAATAAGATATCACTTCAAACCTGTCAGAATGGCTGTCATCAATAAATCAAAGAACAACCAGTACTGGCGAGGATGTGGAGAAGAGGGAACTCTCATACACTGTTAGTAGGATTGCAAATTAGTACAGCTACTATGGAAAACAGTCTGGAGGTTTCGCAAAAAATTAAAAATGGATATTCCTTTTGACCCAGCAAATGTAATTCTGGGTATTTATCCAAAGAAAACCAAAACAATAATTCATAAATATCTATGCACCCCTATGTTCATGGCAGCACAATTTACGATAGCCAAGATATGGAAGCAAGCTAAATGCCCATCAAGAGACGACTGGATAAAGAAGTTATGGTTCATATATACAATGGAATATTACTCAGCCATTTAAAAAAATGAAATCCTTCCATTTGCAACAACATGGATAGACCTAAAAATTATTATGCTGAGTGAGTCAGACAGAGAAAGATAAATATCCTATGATTTCATTTATATGCGGAATCTAAAGAACAAAAAGAACAAACTAATCGAAAACAGACTCACAAATATAGAGGACAATCTGGCGATGGCCAGAGAGAAGGGGGGTTGGGGAACTAGGAGAATGGGGTGAAGGGTTAAAGGTGTACAAATTAGTTGCTGATAGAGTGTCACAGGCATGGGGAACACGGCATAGGGAATGTAGTTAGCCTTAATGTAATGGCTAGGTGAAGAGCCAGAGCAATTAGGAGGATTGTTTTATAAACGATAAAAATGTCTAACCAATGTACTGTATACTTGAAACTAATAATAAAATTTTTTAAAAAGTTAAAAACTAAAAATGGAAAATGTTATTAACACCAACTGTATGCATATTTTGAAAGTTGAAAATAATTATCAAGAAAGCATATTATTAAAATTCTGAACATTAGCAAAAAGAATAGATAACTCCTTTTCTAGAATGATACATTTTAAAGTTCTAGAGTTAGGCATATATTTATAAAAGGGTTTGTAAATGAGAAACATCATTAAATTAACTTACAGGTGTGCTGTGATTTCGACATATGTATAAAAGGCACCACTGTCTAGTAAGAGCCAGGAAGTTCTAGATTTGGATCTCTTCTCTCTTCTCTCCTAATCTTTCAGTACCACTCTTCCCTGGTTCTCACACAATTTCTTCTCAGTTACTTGTACATGCTCTTCTTCCTCTACTGAACCCTAACAAGTGGCATTCTCCATAAGAAAGGAAAAGGGATTCCTTCTTAGTCCTTTTTCCCTCTTATCCTGTGGATACTATTTCATCTAAGATCAACTTCCATCTCTACCTATAAGTTTATTATTCACAAATTTCTATAACACTTCAGATGTTCAACAGTTACCAGAAAATCAACATATCCAAAACTAAACCGATTGTATATAGCCCAGTCCAGCTCCAATGTTCATTTCATCTTATAAACCCTATGTGAATTAATGATATCACTGTCCATGCAAACATCCAAGGGAAAACTTGGGAGTCATCTCTAACGTTTTTGTCCTCCACAGCCAATTACCAATCCTACTGGTTCTGCCTCCTAAGATCCATCCTCTTCTGCTCCACACCACCATTATTTCATTTCTCAACTAAATTACTCAACGAAGTGCTCATTCAGCTTTATGTCTCATGTTTCACCTCCTACCAATCCCTATAAACAATAAAGCTATTCATATTATCTCATAATTGGCTGGTGAACCACTGAAGGAATAGGTATAGAAAGCCCTTCGTGAGCCAATCCCCATCTTCTTTTTCAGGTTTCTTTAACCTTCTTTCCTCTCCTTCCCTTCCTAAGTTTTCCCCAATATTTCATGTTGTCTCAGTCTGTCTGTAAACTGTTCTCTCAGCTTTCTCGTTTTCAAGTCAAACTTGACAGATCTTTCAAGAGCCAGCTCAAGTGCTCTTCTTTAAAGTTTCCTCTAATACCATACCTGAGACAGATAAAATCATCCCTTGCTTTATGGACTCTCTGTACCTTGAGTTAACTCTATTTTATCTCTTCCTATATAGCTCTGTAAATATTTTTTACATGTTTCCTTTCCTATTAGATGGTGAGATCTCCCTGAAGAAGACAATGGTGTCGTTTCTTCTTTGTACTTCCTGGGTTAGCCCAGCACTTGACATATGATAGGAGTTTTTTTAAGTATGCTGAATATTGTATAATTAAATCAATAATCCTGTAAAAAAGCATACAATATAAGCACAAAATTCATGATGA